CTCTCTCTCTCTCTCTCTCTCTCTCTCTCTCTCTCTCTGTGTGTGTGTGCGTGTGCGTGTGCGTGTGTGTGTGTGTGTGTGTTTGGGGGGGACCCCAGTTGAAGAACATGCAATTAATCAATCATAGCAGTTGGAGCTGGTGAGTTGATTAACTTGTTTTCACTCTGGAAACCCCCTAAAATGGCTTTGATGTTATTTCTGCATGAGAGCAAAGGAAACCACAGGGTGAGGGGGCGCAATGCCTACCCTCCAGGAAAATGTTGCTTTTCAGAGAGGCCTCTCAAGCCACCACCACCCCCACAAGCCTGATTCTTACGCCTTGTGCTCTGCCTTCCGTTTGGAAATATGCCTTGTGGTATGTTGTTTTATTTGTCTGATCAGTTTTATTTAAAATTCTATTGTCCTTGTTCATGATTTTATTTTATCCTGTTGTAAACCAACCATAATAGTGCTTTGCACTAGTGGGGACATATTCCAATCCAATCCAATCCAATCCACCCACCCATCCATCCATCTACTATTTGTTCGTTCATTTGTTTGTTTGCTTGTTTGTTTGTTCCTTCCTTCCTACCTACCTACCTACCTTCCTTCCTTCCTTCCTTCCTACCTACCTTCCTTCCTTCCTTCCTTCCTTCCTTCCTACCTACCTACCTACCATCCAATTGCTAGGATTTGGGAAGGAAGACTTCTTTGCTCCTCCATCACCCACAGGTCTCGCCCTGCCACAGCTGCAAGCACAACGCCCCCCCATGCAGATTCCAACTTACCTGGGGCCCCCACAAGCCCGCTGACACTGCTCCCGACGGTCGAACCTGTTCAGGTTCCCGCGGCATCCTCCGTAAATGAACTGCTCACAACGTTTGCTGGCCCAGTTGTAGTAGAACTTGGGCATCCTGGCCTTGCAGGGCCCAACGGCCGGAGGCAACTTGCAGAGATCTGGAAGAGGAAGCAACGGAGAGACAGGCAGGCAGGGAAGGAGGGAGGGAGGGAGGGGCACCAAGGGTCAGGGTGAGACTTAGGGGACCAGGCCATCTTGTTTTGCGCTCCTGCCCCCCCAAACAGAAATGCAGGGGTCTTCATAGGGGAAGGGCCACTCTGCCCATTGGGGCTGCCCTTGCACAGTGCATGGTGCCCTTCCTATAGATCTGCATCTCCCTGTAGGGATCAGGGCAATGACATTTGTTGGCTAAGAAGGGAAGTTGAAGGCTAGGAATATGGAGCAATCACCAAGAACGGGGATGGTGAGGCAAAAGGAAAGGAAAAACTACCCTTAACGTTTGCTATTCCGGGAAAGCCATTTAGCACAAGACAGGGCTAAGCCTCGGGCTGGGAGTGGAAGCCCCTGGAACAGGCTTCTGGGTCAGCAAGAGGGGGGACAGGACAGGGTGCCCATCAGGGAGCTGGGGCCTCTGCCACAGACATGGGTAAAAAATGGCCAGCCCTCCTGGAAGGGGGGGGAAGGACCTCAGGGCAGCATCACTGAGCAAATGCCAGCCAGAACCAAGCGTGGGGAGGGCAGCTAAGCTCCCTTGGCAACATGTTGGTTTGTCCCACAAACACACACACACAGAGACAAACACACATGCGCATACACAGGTTCCTAAAATGCAGCACTGCCACATTTCTCCAACCCTTTCCTCACGGCTGGCTCTTGTGGCCTGTGGTGCACACAGAGAATCCAGGGCCTCCGATGGAGAGACCGGAGGGCCGTCCGGGGCCCGCCTCCACCTGCTTCGCAGTCCTTATCTCAGGAGGGATGGAGAAACCCTCGCAAGGGGGATGCCGCCATCTCCGTGTTTTTTCCTCTTCCAGCTGCACGAGGAGGCGCCGGTTGGTGGATGGACGCACACGCCTGCACGCATCCACCAGGAGAGCTAGCCAACTCTTCCCTGGGCTTTAAATCAAGGTCTTTTCTGCACCGCTCTTCAACTGCCTCTCGGGGACATTGAGGCAGCAGGAGAAGCAGCTTCAGGACCAGGGGGGGGCCATCCCGCCCTGGGCATGAAGATCAGGCAATCCCTGAACTGCTCCCTGTGCACACCAAGAAAGGCACACACAGAGAGAGAGTGTGTGTGTGCGTGTTGCACAACTGTAAGCTCAGAGAAGTCCTCAAGGAAGGAAGGAAGGAAGGCCATGTGGCTTTTCTTCCTAAATCAGGGGTGCCTCCTCCTCCTCTCGTGTTGACGCGACATGAGCTCTGGGGCCTCCAGACATTGCAGTGGCCCTGATCCATTCCCAGGACGAGTCTGAGCTTTGTGTGCCACAGCATCATGTGCCCCAAAGTGCTGCAGGAACATGCCTGAGGACGTTTACGTCCATCAGAGATCATGAAAGGGCATGAGAAGAAGAACGCCTTGCGTCTACGCAGAGGGAAGCCCTTTATTTTGCTCAGGCGTGCTGATGCCCGTGAAAGGGGCCCCGAAATAAGGCCATTCTTACTTGATTCTGGTGTCTGGCAAGTGTCGCCACAGAGTGAGCTGCAGCACTTCTTCTTTGGGGGACAGTCGGCATCCGCCCTGCATGCCTCGCAGCTCCTCCTGCCGGAAGGCGTCGAGTGACCCCAGGGCAACTCCAGGCAGTAGCCGGGGCGGCCTGGAAAGGTGGGGAGAGGAAAGGACAGGGTCACAAGCTCGACCACAGAAAGGACAGGGGGGACATTGGGCTTGGAAAGGCGGGCGCCAGCCCAGAGCCTGACAGACCACGAAAGCAAGCCCAGCCACGGGCGCAGAAAGAGCACCTGGCTCCAGGAGAAGCACCTCGGAGCCCCCGTTGTGGTGCAAGGCTCAGGCGACGAGCAGATATGTGCCGTTGGAAGGCTATTCCTCGGGAGACTCTGAGACACGGTGAGGGTTCCCAGCTGGGGCCTCTGCCCCAGAGCCCCACGGGAAGGCAGCTGGAGCCCGCCTGCCTGGACCTCCCTTCCTCATCCTTCTCCCGGCTGCACAGGAGAAGGCTCTCCCGTACAAAAGGTCTCTCTGCTCTCCGTGCAAACTGAGAGAGAGAAAGAGCCACAGAGTCTCCAGGGGTGGTCAGCATCTCGGGGTCCCCCAAAAGCCTGAGGAAAGCCCACAGGCAGGGCCTGAGGAAGCCCACACACACCCCTGCTGTTGCTTGGTGGGGTTGCCACTCCACTCCCAGGCCACGAGCACAGAAACAGCTGCGTGGACATCAGAACAAGATCCGGTCTCCAAACCACGAGTTTCATTCATGTGCTCTGAGTGAATATTCAGTCCCGGGATAGGACTTTTCTTGAGGGCCTGAATTTCATCGAATCAAAGAATCATCGAATATGGCCACATCATAACAATGAGGATTGCCCTCAAGATTTCAAGAGCGCCCGGTCTTTTTGTTGCAAAAGGGAGAAGATGGGTCCACATCAGGGTCGGGGTTGGGGTTGCCTGTCTCCTCTTCCGCCTCTTTCCCCCCTGATCCTTTCCCTAATGAAGAGGTCCGTCGATCATGAAAGCACGCCCTAGGAGGTTCTGTGCTCTGAGGGTGGGTGAGGATTGGTTTGGTCTCCTGTACTCTAGTCCCGTTCCAGGATGATCCCCGTTCTGGTTCTGGGGTTCTGGGTCCTCCACCTTGTGGCAAGGAGAGGGTCTCCCGAAGGCGGCTTCTCTTCTCTTGGTGTGCAGATTCCCATCGGGCGCATCTCCTGCACAAGCTCTCCTCTGCTGGCATGGGGCTGTCCCCTGTGCCAGCAGAGGAGAGAGGCAGAAGGTAGGGTCCCCGAGTCCCTTCTCCCTCTCTGGCTGGGACCACTCTCTCTTTCTGCCTCCTGGTTGGAATCTGGAGAGAAGGCACGTTGAGCCCAGAGGGCCTGAGAACAGGAAGAGCGGCCAGCGGCCGAGGAAGTCAAGGGTGGAAGGAAGGCACCTTTGTCTGCTCACCTTTTCTCTGACTTTGAGGGGCGGGGGGTTAAGGTGGTGGTGGGGAGAAGCCAGCGATGCATCTCCCCGCCTGCCCTCCAGAGCTCCTGGAGACCCCCAGGGCTTACTTTCAGCCTCTGAAGGAAGGAACACAGCGGAGAAAACCAAGAGCCCGAGGAAGAAAGCCATGCCTCCTGAGTCCACCGTGGTGGTGCCACGTCAGAGTGGCCAGCACAGAGTGGAGGCTCCAGGCACCTTCCCTCCCAAGGGGGGGGAGGGCCGGCAGGAGGAGCAGATCCACCCCATAACAGTCTGCTAGCCTGAAGGCCTTGCACAACAGTTTTGGCAACAGGAGGGTTTGAACAGAGCGTCTCGGATGGGCCTCCCCAACCATCTCAAGTGTGCGCGGGGGGGGGGCAAACACACCTCCGATGCACAACCAGGCATCTGCCCGTCTCAAGCTGTCAGAAAAGGAGGGGCTTCTCTGGGCTAGTCCTTCGAGGGGGAGACACCGGTCCCAGCCAGGGTTAAGGGTCAGCAGAGGTCAGCATCAGCAGCTTTCCTCTCCCCACCCCCACCCCACATGACCTTCCCTTCTTGGTCCATTTAATTTCAGAGGAGAAAAAGGGGGGAGGGGGAGACCCAGACCCACCTGGAATCTGGGAGCCTGCGGTATCTCCGCATTGCAGGGGTCAGTCACTCTGAAGCCACGTTAATGGCCACGGTTCTACGCCACTGGCTCCTGGGATCTGTAGTTTCACGGGGTGCCTAGAGTTGACCGCCTTCTTTTCAGAAAGGCAGCAAAGCTTCTGCGTGCAGAATTCTGACCAAACTCCAAGACCCAGGACTCGGGGGGGGGCGGGGGGGCTGCAGAGTTAAAGCATAACTTTGTAGCATGGAGGCTCTGGGGCTCTGGGAAACGTGCCTCTGGTTGCATTGGAACGGAGAAAGGGAAAGGACGCTTGCATTGGAAAAGAGATGAGCTCCTTTCTAGCTAGCCGGGTCTGCTTGACACCATGCCCCCCCCCACACACACACACACATGGCACAATACTCTTTAGACTGCTGCTCAGGAAAGAGAGAGGCCTTACATCTACTTCCTGGGTGACACAGCATCCACCACCGCAGGCAACCACAGGAAAGAGCCGCTCCGCCCACGTTAGAAGGCGGTTGTGTCCCTGGCACTGGGGGGGGGGGGAACTGCCCTGGAAATGGACCAGCCCACCCCAGCCTTGCATCCAGCTCAGGCCTGATCCTCTCTTCATGCCTGCCGCTCGGTTGCCGTCACCGGGCTTCGATCCCTCTGCAGATTAACAGCTGTGGCCCCACAGCTGAAGACCGAGGGGCTCCAAGGGAGATGATGGGGAGTCTAGGCTTGCTCAGAAGATCCACGCCTCACCCCAGCTGGGAACAGGGCGCTCCATTCTGCTCCGCACAGCTTTGTACCAGGAAGAGGCCATGGGGAGAGAAGTGGCTTATGCATGTGATGAACTAAATGGCAAATGAATCAGGATATGACCCAGTGTGCCAACGTAGCTCATTCCATTGCTTGTTGGTAACGCATGGCCATCACACTTGGTGGTACAGCCTCTGGAGAAGAGGTGAAAAAGCTCTCCAGCCCCCTCACATCTGTTTGCTAGATCTTAAAAATAATGAGATAGGCACAAACCAAATCTCATCCCGGCTGTCCCCCCCCCAGCTGCTATGAACTACAACCCCACCCACCACACACACACACAACACACACTCACACACACATGCACACGCGCGCACACACAGAAAAAAAAACTGGAAAGAGAATGGAATTTGTAGTCTAAAATGTTGAGAAAGCTCCAGGAATGCTACAGAAAAGCATCTCTTAAAGCCGTTAATTTAATGCACAGCTCGCACTGCCATAATGCCATATTTTTCCACAGACCATCAGACCTTCGTGGCTCTTTCCTCCCTAGGGGTGCAAGAGGGACCTGACCATTCTGCCAGTCCCAGCCATTTTTGACCAATTCAGGCCTTGGAGGAGGAACCTACCCACCTCCGGGACCCCCATGGATCCCAGGACATTTCCAAAAGCAACACTGGGCTCTCCCTTCTCCCCCCTCCCCACCCCTTGGTGTCCCACACAAGACTGAGGCTGACCTGCACAGGCTTGTGCCTCAAGTATTTGTTCTCTGCAGAATTCCTCTGTCTCTTGTGGCTGTTGTCAATTTCAGGCACTCACACCTGAGGGTTTCCTCCTCCCCCCGCCTTTTTTTTAATTGAAATGCACACAGAACTTCCGATTGACAAAACAGCAAGCCAATCAGATGAGATCAAAGGATTGCCATGCATGTCAGTTCTTTGTGATCAGTGGAGTAAGTCCTTCCATGTACCACCCTCTGAGGCAGGAGGAGTTCATCTGCATTGACAAAGGCTATAAATGAAGCATCAAAGTGACACAGAAATCCTGCATATGATGACGCTTCAGGCAAAAGCAACCCAGGACTGTCCACCTGAATCTTGCACAGGCCGTTGACAGGAAGCACAAACATGCTTCTCTTCAGAAGCCCACAGGAAACAGCAGACAAGGGACACAATAAGCATACATTAGGAATGTGATGTAACATCATAACACAACTTAGCATATCAAATGACTGAGCCCCACAATACAAGAAGAGCTGTGAAAAAAGGCTCATGATTGTTAGTGGGGAAGGTTTGCCTTTGCAAACTGAGGGTCATCCTGATTTGCTTGTCTGTTCTCATCACAATGGCCCGCAAGGAGAGATGCTCAGAAGCGCTTTGGTTCACCTTCACCAGGTACTTACAGAGCAGTTAAGTAAGAGTCCTCCAAGCGCTGGTATGGAATTCAGCAAAGAATGACATCAATTCCTGCACAGCATCTAAGGGGTTCTGTGTGTGATTTCACAGGAAGAAACCAAGGACATCTCACGGGCTGAGAAATCCCAGGCAAAGCAAGGAAAAAAGGCAGCAAATCCTATAGAAAGCCATGGAGCTGAGATGTAACTTGGATTCACCACCCTATTCTGGAGCATATCCAATGCAGTGAGCCTCTGGAATCCAAAACGACATCCATGATGGGCCAAGGGTGCAGGTGGGCTGGGGGTCCTCCTAAGTTAAAGGAGGTCTCCCTAAATAAAGTTCCCATGTTCAGAGTCAGGGGACCTTTGAAGGCCAGATCAAGCAGTTGGACAAGCAACGGCTAACATACCGCTAGGCCACTGACTGACAGCCAGAGACTCTACAGATTGACTTGGAATTCAACGTGGTAGGATTTGCTGATTTTACGTTCTCAGTTCTAGCAATCACCTCCATGTCAGGTTTCCATGTGAAAAACCCATGGCCAACAGGGAGACAGCAGAAGCACTGGGCATCAGTGAGTTAAACAATGCTCCTTTTAGGTGGATTTATAGCAAGTGGATGGTCCAGACCGATGCTCACCATCCTAGAGGAAAAGTAACACTTTTGGGATTTGCAAGGTCTCACCCTGGTAAAAATGTTGCACAGCTTATTTATAAATGGATGGCATGATGGTGTAGACGAGAAGGGCAGCTAACTGCTTGAGATAGCATGCCCTAGCCAGGAGAAGAAGCAGAGGGCCTGGTAGACGTGGCTGTCACAGAAACAGGGAAGATGTGTATTTGTTCCTCTTGTGTCTCTGAAGAAGTGGGTTTTGATTCAGAAAAGTTCCCACTGAAATAAAGTTGTTAGTCTTAAAAGTACCTCAATATTTTGCCTCTTTCTCTTTCTCTCTCTCTCTCTTTCGTCCAGAAAAGTTCCCACTGAAATAAAGCTGTTAGTGTTAAAAGCACCTCAATATTTTGCCTCTTTCTCTCTCTCTCTCTCTCTTTCCCCTTTAATTTTGCCAAAATGCCGAAAGGGAGCAACTACGTTTTTGGAAATCAAAGTCTACAGCTCACAAAGCAGAGGGAAACTAACCGGGAGCTGAAATTTGTTGACAGCTTTTGCTGAGACGTACCGGTCCTTTCCTCCAGAGGTGTCCATAAACATGAGCTCCATCCCCCCCACCCTCAACTCTGGCACAACTGCTCACTTAGTCATCACAAAACCTGACCAGTCTGCAGGGTTTGACCAACCCTGGAAAAAAATGTGCTTCAAGGCACGTGGCAGAGACAGCTCTGGGAGGATCCTGCTTGCCTTTGGACTTGGGTTACTTTGTTCCGGCCCTTTGTGCTCTGAAGTTGGTCCACAGCTGATGGAGATGGGCCACCTGACCTCACTTCTCTGCTTGCTTTCAGGAAAGGGTCATCGTTTGCCTTCCCCTAAATATCCTGTGCTCTGCTCCTGCTCCCAAATCCTGCCACCAAGAGGGCACGTGGCATCCAGGATTCAAGGGAGGCTGCTTGCCCACCTGTATCATGTCTTAAGGGAACCTCAGAATATGAGTTGGGCGAGGGTCTCAATGGCCCAAAGCCCTCCTCAATGGAACGACCAAACCTAGCATCAGAGGGAGAGCTTTTGAATCTCCAGAGTGCATCATGAACATTGTCTACTTGTAATTCTGACAGCAGCCCACCCAGGTGGCCCAGAACTATTGCCCCCCCATCCCAACACAGTGTGTAGGCAGATGAGAGAAACAGAGAGAGGCAAAGGGAGAAAGGGTGGTTTTGTAGGTTTTTCGGGCTGTTTGGTCATGTTCTGGAAGTTTTTCTTCCTAATGTTTCACCAGTCTCTGTGGCTGGCATCTTCAGAGGACAGGAGTCAGAACTCTGTCTGTGCTCTAGTGTCATGTGTGGGATAGTTGAGTGTTTGTAGCTGTGGGATCAGCTTTTTGTCCTTTTCAGGAGATTGGGTGATTATGGTGATCAGGGTGTTTTTTGTTAGGGGGTATTGTTGTGATAAGTGGGGGAGATCATCCGGTGATCACTGCAGACAAAAGACTAGCTAACGACACTCATCAATCATAGTGACACATCATCTCCTCCCCTTATCACAACAATACACCCATTAAAAAAAACACCCTGATCACCATAATCACCATAATCACCCAATCTCCTGAAAAGGACAAAAAGCTGATCCCGCAGCTACAAATACTCAACTACACCACGCCAGAACACAGACAGAGTTCTAACTCCTGACCTCTGAAGATGCTGGCCACAGAGACTGCTGAAACGTTAGGAAGAAAAACCTTCAGAACACGGCCAAACAGCCCGAAAAACCTAGAAGGACTATCGGATCCTGTGAAAGCCTTCAAGAATATGGAGAAAGGATGGCTTGCTAACATGACAGAAGAGGTCCTCGCAGAATTGTGACTGGACCGGCTTCCCGTACTGAGGTCAGCCTCTGAGCTGCAGTACTGCATCATCTTTGGCCCGAGAAGCAAAAAATGTTCTCAAAGCTTGTTGGCGAAATAAACATCCTGTCTGAAGCATAGGTCAGGTGTAATTGTGGTGGATCGGAGGCCTCTTCCCGGGCCAAGCCTCTGACCCTGCTTGTTCTGGAGCTTGGCCCCGAGCGAGACTCACAGGGAAGTGTCACCTGAGAGTCCAGAGTGAATGCCAGAGCCATGAGGAAGACGCCAAAGAAGAAAAGCACCTGACTGGTTCACGGGCCGGACAGACAAGCCTTCCTGGAGGAGACAGAGACGTGTTTGTCGGGAATGTTGCAATCCCCACCACAGGTGCGTGGGGAACAGATCCTGCCAGGCCAGCTTCCCAGAAGCGCTTTTCAGAAACCTGAGTCATCCACCACGGAGTGTGGAGGGAGGGAGGGTGCCCACACCGCCTCGCCCCCTCCCCAGTCTGTCTAACCGAAAAGGGACCCCTGGGACAAGACAGAGAGGAGTTTCTACCTGCCCTGCCTTTGCTCCCAGGAGCCCTGAGTCAAAGGCTGATTCACCGCGAGGCAGAGCTGGGGCTGCAAGAGAGGCGAGGAGTCAGCGCAACCCTGAAACCATGCACAACCACACGAGTTGTGCAAGGGGCAACGGACGTAACTGTGGAAAGGCCGCTGAGAGGAAGAAGTGGTAAAGAAAGGGAATCCCATCAGCTGCAGAGAAGGATAGCAGCAAATGTTTGCTAGTGAAAGAGGTGGGAGAAAGTCGGGCCAAGCAATGAGCCACAGCGAGACGGCGGCATCAGCCAGGGAAGGATCTGGGCTGCGACCCACACCCACCGGCCACCTTCTTGGCCCCCCAGCTGCCCATGCCTTCCCCACTAACACCATGCAGGGAGCCTGTCCTAGGAGAGGCAGGAGGAGGAAAGGAGGAGAGGGCGTGGAGAGGCCCCAGGGTGGCCTGCTTGCCTCTAGCAGGGCTGCCAGGCAGCCAGCCCTGGGCTTCATGCCTGGGTCTCCAAGCCAAGAGTTCTGACAGGAGGTGCTGCCGTTACATCTCCCTGACAAGACACCTCCAGCCTCTTGTGACCCTGTGGGTGAGCCCTGCGTTGGGGGCCACCTCGTTTGGGGCAGAGCGGTCATGGTCAGGAAAGTTCAGTGCGGCCATTGCCACTTTCTGCACAGGACTCACAAAAAGTTACCCCGAGTGTCATGGCTGTTGCCTCCTCCTCCTCCACTACCGCCACCTTCAGCAACCCCGGCTGCCCATCAGCCGCCCTCCAGAGATTCCTCTGCCTCCAATCCGTTCTCTTCTGCCGATGGATGTGGCTGTTAGTCCTAATAAGGGTGGATGTCTCTCTTTTTTTGTGGCCTCAGCTGTGATCCTCCCACCTTGGGTGACCCTGCCAGGAGTCCAGGCTCATGACGGGAGTCTAGCCTCCCGACCACATGGCTATCGTCTTCGCGGACACACTCAGACCTTCTCACCAGGTTCCAATGGGCATCAAAGAGATGATTCCAGAAAGTAAGAGGATCTAGAAACTGTTTCACAAACAGATGTTGCTGCCGGAATGTACCAAAGAATTTCAGGAGATCGCTCCGTATTTTAAAGACCCCAGCAAAGCATTTGATTGTGTGGCCCGTGAAAAGCTACAGATTGTTATAAAAGAAATGGGTGAAATGGGTGCACCTCAGCACTTCATTGTAAGAACAATGCTCTGGAGAAAACGCGACTGCTAGGACAGAATATGCAAAAACAGAACAGTTTCCTCAAGGCAAAGGTGTCAGACTCACGTGTATTTTATCCCCTTACCTGGTCAATCCATAGGCAGAAAAGATCATAGAAAAAGCCAGGATAGCTTCCAATGGAGGAGGTGTGAAAATTGCTGGAGGAATCATTGATCATTTAAGATATGCAGATGACACCGTCTTACCAGCTGAAAGCAGCAATAAACGACATCTTATGAAAGTGAAAGAATTAAGTTGGAAAGCAGGACTGTAGCTGAACATTAAGGAGAGTGAATTCATGACTGCAGAAGAAGCATTGACACTGAAGAAACTGAAAGAGTTGGGAGATTTTGTATACCTTGGCTCGAGCATCAATCCAAAGGGAGACTGTGGCCAAGAAATCCGAAAAAGACAGAGACTTGGAAGGGCAACCACAAAGGAACCAGAAAAGAGTGTGAAGTGTAAAGATGTATCACTGGAGCCCAAGGCCAAGATCATCCAAGCTCTTGTATTCCCAATCGCGAAACATGTAAGTCATAGGTCAAGTCACGCTTGTTTTCCCTGTGGTATTAAAAATGATGACACTGAGGTTGTTATATTTTGGGCACATCACAAGAGACGACTTACTGGAAAAGACAGTAATGCTGGGAAAAGTTGAAGACCACAGGAAAAAAGGAAGATAGGGATTGACTCTTATCAAGAACGCCTAAGCACCGAGGGCTGCTGCAGACAGGACTGTTTGGAGATCAGCTATTCATAAAGCAATGGATGGCACAAAACAGCAACAGAAGTGTTTTTATGGCTCCCAACATCTATCCTGCAGACTGAAATCTTTGGCCACAACCAGGCACAGCTTTTCCATTAAAAGATGAAACCATCTTAACCAGTGGCTGAACAAAGGTAAGCTCATTTGGAGAGCAATGCAGGGGTAGCAAAAAGAATGGTTTGTTCAGGGAGTTTCCCTTCTAACTACAAAGCCGGCGTCCCTTCCAGGAGTGAACTTAGACACCTGGAAAGGGACCTGGGGAAAGTTGACCTTCAGCAAGCCTTTGACAGACTGAAGGAAGGACTGACGCCATTTCCAAGCACCCAGAGTCTTGCATTGCCCTTAAACTTCATGCAAGTGGATCAAAGGACCTTGTGCTATCCAAGTCCCATGGAATAAGGTTTTCAATGGACGTGGCTTGCATTTCCTGAATCCACTGTAACAGTTTGTCCAGTTGGTTGCTTCTGTTCCGTCCTGTTCCATTCCATTCCGTTCCATTCTGTCCTGTCTTCCTAAAGTAATGATAAAGTAATTAATTCAGTGGCAAAAAGCCATAGGTGGTCTTCTGGTTTTTTGTTTTGTTTTTAACTCTTCACGCAGCCCCTGTCTTCTACATCAACTGTGCCAGGGCATGCGCAGGGGGGAGGCGCATATCCTCACATGATTCACTGCCTCCTGATGAGCTCTGCTTCTCCCTAACTCCACTTCCTTCACTGGGGGGCTCCCCCATCCCAGTTTCGCCACCCTGACCCCCTCCTGCCCACATCTGGAGCAAGCACAGTAAAGGCTGGGCATTGCCAGTTCCCCCCACCCCTTAGGAGTAGCCTGTGGGTCCCGAAGGGCAGAGCCCCATGGAGTGCACCAGCTGAGCCCGGCAGGTGGAAGTGGGGGGCAGGACAATCTGCGTAGCCCACCAAAGCTCAGCATTCATTAGCAGGGCAACTGAGGTGCCATCTAGGTGCCCCACCATGAGGCTCTTCAAACGTTGCACCCATAAGCAAGTGTGGTGTGCGGGTTGCAGGGAGGAGCAGCCGCAGCAGAGTGGATGAGCTTGTATTCAACCTGCAGTTCGATCCCCAGCATTACCAACGGCCGGAATCTCAGCAGCCACGGCAGGGAAGGGCCCCCTTTGCAAAGGAGCAGCTGTGGGCCCTTCACAGGCTGGGAGGCAAAAGTCCTTTCACAGATGATGGCATGCGTGCGTGCGTGTGTACATGCGCATGCACAGACCGTCACACCTCTTTCCTCAGCCTCCTTTTGTGGTCCTCCCTGTGCATTACTCCCAAGTGGGCATCCTTTCTCCTTCACTGGGATCCCTGCCTTGAGGAGGGAAGGGGCTCAACTCAGTGGCCTGGTCAGCCCCTCCCAATGCCGCCATCCCGTCCTTCGATGCCTCTGCGATCCTTCTGGTGGAGGCGAAGAAAAGCAGGCAGAGAGAGCCATCTGGCAAAGTCCAAGAGGGAGGGAGGAAAGGAGGCCCCCGCAAAAAGACCAGGCACCCCATGGTCTAGGCTGGGGCGGGGACACCCCAGAGCTGGTGTCCCACATCCACCAGCCTGGGGAGGAACCGGCAGGGCCAGCCCAGAAGGGAGGTTTAGGTAGGTCATGGAAGGTGGTGGCCCCACCCAGGGAGGAATTTAAAGCTCTTCCATAGGGCTGTTCTCCGGCTGTTCCAGCCTGGCTGATTTTCATAAGCATCATGAAGCCCGATGTCCTGTGGCTCCTAATGGGGTTCCTCGTGCTCAAGGGGGGTGCTCGGGCCATGGACTACGGACAGGAGGAGAGGAAAGGTGAGTGCCTGCTTTGGGAGGGAGGCTTATGTTCAACCCAGAGGGAACGGATGCCGCATCTGGTGGGGCCACGGTGAGATCCAGGAAGCTGGACTGGAGGGGCCCTTGGCCTGATCCAGCACAGGGCTCTTTTGAGGTTCTTAGGATGTTTGGTGGAGGACGCTTTCTGTGAAGGAGGCTCTGTTCTTCTCAATAGACTAGACCCAGCATTTAGAAAGCAGGGGGACGAAGGCCAGGACATCATGGGAAAGGGGGGGGGAAGCAAAAGACCCAAGAGTGAGAAGGGGGCCAGCCTGTATTACTGGGGAAGAATGGGGCCTTTTGGCTCATTATCGTGCCATTACTGGGTCACAATTTTATCTGTCCGGGACCAAACTATGAGAAATGCCAGCTTCACCCTTAGGAGTGGAACTTCCTTATGAAGTCAAGGAAGTTTGTTCATCCTGTCACAAGATTTTCACAGCTCTGCAAATTGTAAATCAGCTCACCTTTATTTGGTGACAGCATGGGAGTGTCAGCTTGATTGGGCAGGTACAGGGTGGCCAACTCAGGCCAGGTTGTTGTGAGGGCTAACAGGCCAGGCAAGCCCGTTGCCTTCCCCAGGCTGAGGCACCTCGGGGACTCCTTGGCAAGAGCGAAATGGAATTAGGGTGGCAGCGCACTAGGGGGTGAGCCAGACCCTTAGGGATCAACCTGTCCTGATCCATCCGCTGCTTGAATGACTGGGCGGGTGGCCCTTGGACCCAGGCTTGGCCAGGCCGGCCTGTGGGGCCTGAGGCAGAGGATGATGAAACTCAAGGCACCTGCTCTTTCCAAGGGACGCTACCTGTAAGGGGCTGAGGGGCTGGGGCGACTTTTATAAAGTTAGTGTTACAAGCAAAATGGAGAATTAGTGCAGGGAAATCACCCCAGAGGGAGACCACAGCTACGATACAAGGAGATCTGCAAGCAAGATCTGAAAGCCTTAGGAATGGACCTCCACAGATGGGAAACCCTGACCTCTGAGCCTTCAGCCGGGAGGCAGGCGGTGCATCATGACCTCTCCCATTTTGAATAAGAGACCCTTGTCCAGCAGGCCGAGGCAAAGAGGCCGTCCTGAAAGCAGCAAAATCAGGGAGCTGGACAGGGGACAAGATATGTATTTGTCTTCAGGGTGGAAGGGATTGTGTCACTCTCCAATTGGCCTTCTGGGCCACTCCAGAGGCTGTTCCAAGACCTCTCTATTCAGAGCGTTTACCATCATCTCTTGAGACTGAAGGAGGCCCGATCTAACAAGCAAATCTGGAATGTCCCAGCACTGGGAGCGGAGGGGGGGGGAGTTTGGAGAGGGGGCCCCTGCGAATGGGTGACCTGCCCTGTCCTCTGGGGTGGAGGCAGGGGCAGCGCTCCCTCCCCCCCCGCCAAGGATGCAAGTTTGCCTCCCAGCCCAAGCCCGGATCCAGCTTGGCCTGGCGCTGCGCTCCCCCAGGCACTCAGCCTTCGCTTCCCTTTTCTCTTCCCTGCAGGGAAGGCCGGCTTCTGCACGCCCTCCCCGAACGGACTGTACGAGCCCCCCTGCAACGTCACCTGCGAGGGGGACTCCGAGTGTCGCGGGACCGCCAAGTGCTGCGAATACGCCTGCAGCTATCTTTGCATGGCCCCCAGCAGAGGTAGCGCGGCCCGTTTCAAAGCGCGTGTGGGTGCGCTTCGGGAGAGCGTGGATATAGTGGAGCCGGGAAAGGGCGCCCGGTGCTCAGGGCTGCCTCCGGAGGAGGAGGAGGAGGGAGGGAGGGAGG